ATGAAATTACATATTTATTACATAAATTCCTTTAATTAAATACTATTATTAAAAATTCCAGGTCTCATTCTAGCTGACCATGTTATGAATATACTGTTATCTTCCTTTAGATTCATTTACAATCATAGTTTAATGCTTGATGTATTATATAGATTTGATTATATTATACTCTCCCACCTATCATTCTTAATAAATTTTATTATAATTACCCTGGTCAAGTAACTTATTATAACATTATTAAGCACTTACTAGCTCTTTCAAGGACTTATATAAAATGGTAACAATATATAAGAACTAAAAATAATAGCAATATTATCTTTATCTTTATAAGTAGTTATATTATTATTGTTTTACTTAGTTTTTACTTTTACTATATCTTCTTAGATGCTCAACATATATTTCAAATCAGATGAAAGAGATAAAATAAATAATTAAAAATGATAATATATATTTATTAAATATTAGTCAGCTAAAAAGTGATTTAAAAAATCTTCTTATAATTTAATATATATATAATACAATATTATAATAATAGTTTATAGACAAATAAAATATTATAAATTCAATTTATTAAATTATTTTAACAATATAATATCACAAATATGTAAGAGATTAACTATAAATATAATATTACAAATATGAAAGAAATTAATAATATAATATTACAAATATGTAAAAGATTTATAACAAAACTAATATAAAACTTAAAATTTAAATAATAAAATAATAAAAAAATTATATTAATATTCTAATTGTATTAATTTCAAGAGAATATTATTATCAAAGGAGTTTATTTTTGAGTTATTAATATTTTTATAAGAACTTAACTAATTTTCTAAGCTAAAATACATGTTTCTTTTATAGAAAATTACTAAATTTAAACTATTAATAATATTTATAAGAAAATTGCTTATTTATTTGCTTGATTACTTATTTATTCACTTATATTATAATTTAATATAAATATAAATTATCTAATATAACATAAATAAATAATCTATAATATTTATAAATAATAATATAAATAATATAATATGAGAATATAAAATGATATAAATATAAAAATCTTAATTAAATAAAATATAAATATATATTTTCAAAACTATTTAATAAGATCAAATATAATTTTGACTAATAATTAATGTGAAATTCCATTATATAATAATATTAATTATTAATTATATTTTAATTGTATATTTATATTTATATAAATATTAATTATATTAAACGTGTTTTTAATTATGTTTTTAATTATATAATTATATTAAACGTGTTTTTAATTATGTTTTTAATTATATAATTATATTATATTAATTAATTAATAAATAAATATAATTATTATATAATATTGATATTTATATTAATAATTTATATAAATCATTTTATATAATAATAAGAAAAATTTAATTTTTTCTATTTTTTTCAAAATCTAATACAAAAATTGAATCTAAAAAGAGACAAATTATTTATATTCTTTTTTTTATTTAGTATTACAAAGTCTATCATTTTGATCATTTTTAACTTTATTTATAAAAAATTTGAAATTTTTTATATTTTAATTAGAAAAATTTTTTAATTTTAAATATTAATTAATAAAAATTATATAATATTTTGTATTATTAAAAATATATATGTTTAATTATATTATTAAAAATATTTATTTGTAAAAAATTTAACTTTATATATAAAAATTATTTATATTTTAAGTTTTATTTGAAAAATTTTTTTCAATTTAGAAAATTAATTAATAAAAACTTAGTATATATTTATATTATTAAGAAGTAATTAATTATTATTACAAAATTATTATTTATTTATTTATAAAATTTTTTATAATTAAATTATAATAATTTTAGCTGGAATTATTATAATTTTGACCAGAATTATTATAATTTTGATTAAAATTATTATAATTATAATTTTAATATTAATTAGCATAAAATCTCTTTATAGTCACATTTTTTTATAGTTATTCGATTTGGTCTTTTCAATAGTGATGACTATAGAGAGATTTGATTGTATAAAAATTTTTTATAATTAAAATATAAAATTAATTATAAAAAAATTTTGCGATTTGAATAATTTTATCAGGTTAAATCTAAAAAAATCCAGAAAAAATATATGTTAAAATATAAATTATAATCTTTATTTTAATATAAAAATAAAAAATATTTATTATAAAATTTTAAAATTTTTACATAAAACAAAAATTTCAATTTTACTATGTTTTTATTAATAAAATTGTATATATAATTCCATAATTATGTAACCACTATATACTAAAAGTTCTATTTGTCATTATATATGTTAAAAAATTTTAACATGAAAAAGTTCAAGAAATGCTAATTAAAACACTAATTATATTTTTAAATCAACATGTTCACTCAAATAGCAATTACAATTTTGTTAGATAGCATATATTTTTAATTAAAAAAAAATTGATAATAAATTGGATTAAAAATATTATTGAAGACTTGTAAATATATTATTTATAGTTTAATTAAAATATTTTGGAATTTGGCCAATTAATAAATTCAATTTTTTATTTTGGCCAAAGTATATTTCAATGATTTTATTAGTAATTTTATAACTATAAGATGCATACTCATCAAAAGATTGTATTTTATAAATTCAATAAACTTCTTATTAAATACAAATTTAATCCACGAATAGGTCTTATTCGCCATAAATAATATTTTTACGAATTTTAATTCTACCACATGTATAGTTTGAACCGTCTCAGTTCTGGCCCAGAACTTCTGGGCACTCAAATATATAAGAACGTTTGGTAAGTTTGACACAAATTGGCTTATTATTATTATCGTTACTAATATTATTGTTAATATTTATTTCAAGTTAAATACTAATTATTGTGACAGATTAAAACGAAACCAGATTAAAATAAAATAACATCAAAATAAAATTTGGCTCTTTTTTTATGGGATAAAAATTTCAGAGAAGGGTTAGGGTTAGGTTAGAGCATAGAGTATAGCATTAAAATCTGTAATATATTGACCTATGATTATTTAAACATCCCACTCGGTTTCGTTTAATCTGATTTCATTTTAATCCGCCACAATTATTAATAGATTGACGTTAACACCATATAAGAAACATTTTTATTTATATGAGGGGAACGACCACACTAACTTTGGGTAGAAGGAATAACTCGTGGGCAGAGCAATAATTCCGTGCAATGTCTATAAAGTCTTGGTTAGTTATAGTCTTTACTGAAAAGTGGAGACGATTTGGTATATTGTGCGGTAGCATTATTCTCCATCACCACTTTCTTGATGTTTCTCATTATCACCGCCAAAAAATAAATGCCTAAACCTAGAATCTGTTGGTTCAAGACATGGAAACATCTCTTCATCATCTGACATGTTAACAAAATTAAAAGACAAATCAGAAAAATCCTGTTTATCATTTTTTGTAAAATATGGAAGCCTTTTTACATATATTGTTGATCCGGGAGGTATATACATCGCAGCTTCTAATGGTTTTGGAGCAGTGCCACTCCAATCAGTTCTTTTGGATGGCAGGTAGTATTTATTCTGCTCGGTTCTTGTGGGTTGACCAAAGAGAGTGCTGGCATGATTAATTACTGATGGATGATTTTGGTATTTTTGAAGGATGGTATAGTCATCCGCTGTTAGAGTTGGGGATGGAGGGAAAGTAATGGTAGTAGAAGATTCCGAGGATATTAGCTGCCACGTTGTTTCGGAAGTTGATGGAGTTGGTGTTGGTGGAATTGTAGGATTGTGGAATGATGAGGTTGATTTTGGAGTAATGTTTGAAGTATTCGAAGTATTCGAGTTCATGTTCTATTCTTGAATCATATGACTGCTTTACAAATCGAGTTGATCAATTTTGGCAGTAACACAAACATCGTGTCACGGAATCATAAATTTCTTCCAAATAATAAAAAGGCATTATTAATTCAACTTACGTACATGCGTATTTCTGTATTTCTAATAACGATTGAGCAGCGATACATTTGTTGATTTGTAAACATGGTGTCAAGACAAATATAAAAGTGCTAGGTTACCCACATTCACATTTTATGTATCAGAAAATAATAAATTAAGATTGACACTTAAATTACCGTTATTATCTAATATATACTGCTTATTTAATCAAGAATTGAACAATGGCCGTCATTTACATCATCATGTAAGTCGAGAATAACCTAACCATTATACGTATAAATAAATTTGAAATAATTCACCAATTTAAATAATAGCTACTCGTTGTACGGACACATCAAAACCCTAGCCGAAGAAATCAAAAAGGGCATCGAAGCATCGGGCACCGGCTCAACCGCAACAATCTATCAGGTTCCGGAAACTCTTCCAGCAGAAGTAATCACCAAAATGCACGGCGTGAAGTTCGATTTACCAATTATCGACGCGAGTGAATTGAAAAATGCCGATGGCTTTCTTTTCGGTTTGCCGACACGTTTTGGTAATGTTCCTGCGCAAATCAAGGCTTTCTTTGATAGTACAGGTAAAAGAAATAATTTAATTATGATATTCCTAATATCACTTTTATCAAATGATTAATTATATATATATATATATATATATATATATATATATATATTTTAAAAGGAGGAGAATGGGTGTCTGGTGCTCTTAAAGAGAAATTTGCCGGCACGTTCTTCTCTACTGGCTCTCAACATGGTGGACAAGAAACCACCGCGTTCACCTCCATCACCTGGTTCGTGCACCAGGGCATCACCTATGTTCCTCTCGGTTACACGCCCGAATTGCAAGACAATACTGAACTTGTAGGAGGTGGTCCATGGGGTAAGCATCAATTAGTTCATTGTTATTGTTAATATTTATTTTGATTAATTAATTAATTAATTAATCAATTATTTATTTATTTAGGTGCTGGAACAATCGTCAATGGTGATGGTAGTCGTCAACCAAGTGACAAAGAAAAGAACGTTGCCCGAACTCAAGGTGACAGATTTGCAAAGATTGTGTCTGCCTATGTCAAAGGAAACTCATTGTAAGCTGTCACTATCCCCTATACGCATAATAAGTTTTGTGCTCAGTCCAATCGATATTATATATGTGTTGTTCTTTGTGAATGTACAATAAAATTTCAATTTCAATAAAATAGTGATAATTTATATTATCGTATCGTTTGGATGGATGGATGTATGTGTGTGTATGCGATGTTCGTTGACGAACTCAAACTAAATATCAATTAACTAAATTAACAGTTTTAAGGCAACTGCCGCATATGCAACAACTTCCACCACTAATGATAATACTCGAACGCAACCAACGGAAAATACTACTAATACAAACACTAATACTGCAACAAATAACAACACAAGCAATTCAGCCTCAAATATAGTAGCGGTACCAACGACGACGAGTCGAGGATTAACAGCAACAGAAAACAAATCAGAGACGAAAAAGAACTCGAGAAGTGCCTGGTTTTGTTGTGGAAGTTTTGATGAATAATCAACTAACGCTAATGAATTGTATGTTATTTATATAGTTCGATAAACAATAATGACATTAGTCCTAAATAAAATTTGCGATTAAAATAATCATTTAAAAATGGGATGCTGCAAAATAAATAAAATAAACTAAATATCGAGATGAGATGTGATGTGATGTGTGAATTAACTTACAAAATAAAAATTATTCAATAAATTATAATTATACACAATTGTGAAAATAAAAAAGAACGTAGCAATTAAAATAAATTAACTATGTACATATTATTTGAGTAACAATAATCAATTTAACAACACCGAGCCACTATCCGCAATCCTACGACCATGAGAAGAATATTGTTGATTTGATGAAGAAGCATTAGCATTAGAAGTTTCCTCATTTTTATAATATTCATTAGTCTTAGCTCGCAATTCCTTGATTTTTCCGATCAATTCTTCTATCGCTTCACGATCAAATTCACTATCACCGCCGTCCTCATTTGTATTCGCTTCTTCTCGAATTTCTTTTTCAAGGTCAGCTAATAATTCATCGAGAACCTCAACAGGTAACATTTGACGACTATTGCTGTTGTTATCATTTGCTCCAAAAAATTTTGATAATTTTTGGATGTTTTTGAGGCGATATTGTTTCCCTGATGATGAGGATTGAAATATTGGAGGTAAAAGTGGTTTACCAGTGGAAGGTGTCACAGGTGCAGAATAAATATGTCGATGAGCATTTTGATTTATTTCATCATTGTTGGTCGAATTATTATCGGCTTCTTCCTCACCCTCATCATCACTCTCGAACATATAATCTATTAATTCGTATACGACCTTTCGATCATTTTCCAATAGGTAATCCAGTGACATCAGACTGCGATGATGTAAATCTAACCTTGATGACGATGATGTTCTCTTGTCCTGAGAAATTGATGAAGATTGTGATATTGAAGAAGATGGAGAGTGTGTTTTTTTGGTATAATGTAGTGGCGTTGATGAGATGTAAAGATTCTGTGGAGGGGTTTCTCCAAACATCTTCTTTAGTTTTACAGCTCTCTTTTGATGTAATTTCTTGTCTTGGGCTAATAATTTTGCGTTAACTGATGGGGAATGAAATTGATCAGACATATCATAATTGCTAGTCGAGGAGGCGGCGGCGACGACGTTATTGTTATTTTTATTGTGTTGTTGATGATAGGAATTACTGGACTTCTTGGCAAAATTTTGCGAATTTGATCCCACTTCTTGATGTGGTTGGTTTCTTATTACTGTGGGCGTGGGTGGCAATGAATCTTCATAGTCATCATCTTGACCCAACACCACGTGAACGGGAACTTTTTCGCCAAGAAATTGATAAAGTTTTTGCAACTTCTTTCGTCTATATCCTCGTGTATCCTTATTAAGCATTAGTAGAGAAGAAGCATGTGGTCCATTAATATTATCACTATCTCGGTTAATAGATGCATCCCAACTTTCGGATTCACGTTTCGATTTATTTTTATTTCTGTTCTTTGCAAAGTCAGTTTTTTGCGGGGAAATAACAACAGAATGGGAAGGTGATGCTAATGATGACTGTGTAGTCGACGGAGTTGGAGGAATCATTGAATCTGAAGCTCTTCTTAATTTTTTTCGATATTGTGTCGGTGATTTATAATTGTCATTGTCTATTGATGCAGGAGTATTAACAGTTGGTAATGTGAGTGCTTGACGTACTAATTCTTCATCTAATGTCTCACCGAGCATCAATTGGAGCTTTTTACTTTTCTTCCATAACAATCTACGATCTTTTGTGCTGAGATCATTGACTGTACTCAGAAGAACCCCATCGTCGTGATTCGAATTAAAAAATTCAAATGATGTTGGTGATGAAGAAGTCGGATCATTTTTTACAAAAGTCTCGGTATTTTTAATCGCAGTAGAATGTTCTTTCTTTAATAATGGTGTTGAAGAATCTCGATCACTTTTTTGCGTTGGTTCTTTTTTAATGATCTGCTGCGAATACAACTGAGTTTCTTTCAAAGCCTTACCAAATATCGACTCGAGCTTCTCAACTTTTTTCTTTCGATGCCAAACATCTCTGGTGGCTTTCCTATTAGCAGTTAAGACCGACGTCACACTCGTCACATCCTCATTATCATCCAACAAAAGTTCTTTAGATCTTCTTCCGATATTATTGAATTGTCCAGGCATCTTTGCGACTTTCTCACCGAATACCCAACGTAATTTTTTCTCTTTTTTAATTCGTCGCATCCGTTGCGCGGTGGTCATTCGATTCTCAGAGTTGAAGTATCCCTGTAGTGCGGGCGGGGCAAGAATTTCAGAGTATCGATGAATTTCGGGTTTCTTTCCTGTACCATCTGATAATATTGATTCAGGGAAATATTGTGATAGGGTCGAGTGTAACGTTTGTTCTTTGTAGTGATGTGAAATGGGATTTGGTGATGCATCACTGTCAAGTGCCATTGTTACAGCAAGCATTAGATTCATGTTTGGTCGAAAGTAATGCTCTAGTGATTTGGCCATTTGATGCTGTTCATATATTTCGGGCTCTATAAAAAGCTACATATTTAATTATCTTTTTATTATATGACATTAATCTTAATTAATAAAAAAAGTACCTTCACTCTTGATCCTTAGACATTCTCTCCATTCTTTACTCTCTTCAAATCGCATGAAAGTATGACCTTTCATCAGTTGATATACAGCCTCTTGGGCATCATCAAAAATGTCTCTTTCTACCACACAGTCATCATCAAGTGGCCAAGGAATCTCGCGTCTAATTTCATCACTCAAATTAACTTGCAACGGAGCATTCGGACTAATATAAGTCAAGTAAATATATTTGGCATGTATCAGCGCAGTTTGTTGTTCGTCAAAATAATTATCCTCGCCATCCGAAGAAATTCCCGCGGCAAAAAGTTCGACATCAAGCCAAAACAATGGATTTTCAGCAGAATATTCACTAATAGTGAACCGTTGAAAAAAATTCAGAGCCAACGTGTTTGTTAGTATCGATTGGAATCGAGCTTCCGATGCTTGAATTAAACTTTGTATGTGCGCTGCGGTGGGATTCGGTGGCAGTGTATCACCAAAGGGTTGAGTAGATGATCCAGATGTTGGAGACAGTGTCGGAAGAAGAGACGTTGATTTGTTGGAAGTATTCATGAAAGATTGTTGTTTTGAGACCGGAGGAATCGAAGGAACTGGCGGTGCAGATGAATCAACTTGAAAGTGACTCTGTTTATTATAGTTTGTAATGATTGGCACACTATAACGACGTTTTTCTTTGGGAGAAAGTTCTGGGGATGGTATGAATCCTGAAGCAGTTATTTGATTATCAGAAATAGTAGGACTCCAAATAATGCTATTTCTAGAACCTTCTAAATCTGCATATTCTTCAAGACCCTCAAGCTGATCCCTGAATCCACTATGGCCTAATCAAATCAATCAACATTAGGCAAAAAAAATAAAGTTTGAATAATATTCAGTATAAAACAGAGAAAAAAATTACCTTCATAAATATTCAATACATTCACGACATCTCCATGCTCCAAAACTTCGCCAACTACATCACGAAAACGAAGAGCAACCATTCCAACATCGTATAGTAAACCCACTTCAAGTGGCTCATAATTACCAACTTGCTCAATTCCACCATATTTGAACGCGTATTCTGCTTCAATCTGTCTGGCCAATCGTTCCACCGTAAATGTTTTCTCGACGGTAACCGGAAAAGAAATCGCCGGTGAAATATTTGCGTTGATTTGTAAAAATGAAGAAATGTGTTGTATGGTTCGCGATAATCGTTTTTTCTGAATGTTTGATAATCGTCGGACGGAGCGAATCGAATGTGAGGGAGATAGAGGTGGACATGCACCACTATTTTTTCCATCATTATTATTATTATTGTTAATATTAATATTATTAATAATATTATTATTAATATTATTATTATTATTATTGTTGTTGTTGTTGTTGTTATTATTATTATTATTATTATTATTATTATTATTATTATTATTATTGGTAATAGTAGTAGTAGTAGTAGTAGTAGTAGTAGTAGTAGAAGTATTATTAGTAGGAGTAGTATTATTATTGTTTTTTGATGAAGATAAAGATGCAATTGGGTTTTTTGAAAATATAACAGTGGGAAATACGGCTGCAGAATTTGATGTGCTGGAATCTTTTATATCATTTTTTATGTGCTCGTCGTAATATTCACTATCAAGTAATAATGGCTCCGACTCAATCTTCGACTCATTATCATCAATATTTTCGTATGATAAATTATTCGTATATTGAATATTATGATCAAGCGGTGAATTGATTTCATTTTTTATTGATGTTAATTGAAAAGTATCTTTAACATAAACATTTATATACCGATGTGCGCTCGGCGAGCGAGAGTGTGTTCTGCTCGAGGGCTGTGATTGTGTGGTTTGACTTGTTTGACTGGGCGGACGCGATTTGGTTGTCGTCGTCTCGATATGACTTATTGAGCGCTTGTGTTGTAGACTGGTGCGCACGGGTTTGTTTGTGGTGGTGGTCGTGGCTGGATCCATTCTTTTATATATTAAATAGATTAATGTATATATACAATTGAATGTTTTTTTGGGATTTGAAACAAAGTGTTTTTGTTATTATATTAATATAATTATTAATATAATTATTAGTAGTATAAGCAAGTGTGTTTAGGAATTTTGGGAATTCGTTCGTTTCCTTTCATGCCAAGAACAACGACACCATTATATAGATGTTTTATGTTTAATATTAATATTAGTATTTAAAGACAAATAAAATAATAATAATAATAATAATAAATAAAATAATAATAAACAAAAAAGTTGGAAACTAAGTAGTAATAATAATACAATACAAAAAACGAAACGTAAAAGAGAGCAACCTGTGCTTATGTTTCGTTTTCTTTCAGAAATAATAATATAATAATGTTAGTGGCAATAGTGATAGTAGGAATAAATATGAAAAACAAGAAAAGTATTTTTGTAATTCCAAAAAATAAAAATAATTTTTCGCTGGTCTGTAACTTTAGCTTTCGTACTTTTGATGATACGAATAAGGCAATTCTATCTACTAGTAAAACAACTTGAACGTTGATGTTCACGCGGTTACATTTTTTTTTGTTCATTTAACTTCTCGGAGATCGACCACAAAGGCATACAAATTATGAAACAGTCAAAAATTAATTAGACGTTTTTGATTGGTTGATATATCCAATGAAATACTTTGATTGAAGTTAACAATAATAATTATCCGTTTGTCTCAAACATCGTTTTAGTTTAATAAATACATTGACTCAGTAAATACATGCACATATTAATTAGAAATACACAACACACCATTGTTATAATAATTTAATATAATTTAAGATGACCTGTTACTTGATTTATGATGTCAACTGGACCTAATAAATAAGAAAACAACCAATAAATATTACTTGGATCCAATTAACCCTAATAAGGGATTTCTTTCTCTTTTATTTACCGGGACCAATTCCTAATACAGTTGTTGTTCCTGGAATAACTTGAGTGTGACCAGCGTCCGTTATATGCTCTGCGCATAGTCCGAGACTTAGAGCGATCGCTTGTAATTCTAGTCTATATTTAAGGTTAAGAATATTATAATTATCATTTCAAAATGCTGATAATCAGATCACTAGAAAGAAAGTAATTTTCTTACAGTTCTGTTTCATCATTAATTTTCAATGCTATTTTCATTTGTCCGGATCTTTCCCAGGCTTTAAGCATCTAAATGAAAAAATAAATAATAAACTGTGTTTTATGCTTGGAAATTCAAAGTTTTAAATTATCATTTTTTTATACCTTTGAATTGGATGCTTGCAATGATTTGTAGCATGCGAGCGTAGCGTGTGAGCACTTTTGAGATAATTTAACTTCAGTATTTTTAATAAAAACATAAAAACGTGTTATATTACGATCTACTCACTTGTGCCGCCACTTTACCTTTAGTCATATTCAAATCATTACGAATCAGCAATACCTCAATTGAATTCAATAAAGTGAAGTATTAGTTCCAATTCACAATATACAAGACATATTGATCATCATCAGAGCTTAGTATGTATAGCACCTGAAGGCGTCACCTGCCTCTCAGTGGGCGTTCACTTAACAATCCGATCTAGCTGTTGATGATCAAACGTCTCTCTTATACATGAATAATAAAAATATACCAATTTAAAGTAACCGAAGTTATCAGAATTAATCTGTTGGTCGTCGGGCTGATTAAATGGAATTATTTCAGAATCACTGCCGTTATTATTGTCTTCATTTTTCTTTTTCTGCCGACTTTTTCGCTTTTAAAATTATTATAATTTTTGAATACTTTATTTTTGTAAATTAGTTGAGGTAAGATTTTTTACCTGAGGTAACGTTGAAAGGGAAGTTTTTCCAATCTTATAGCCAACAACAAATACCAACCCTGTAATCGCAAGCCAAACTGTGGTAGAAAATGAACTCATTATGACAATATGAAGACTCATCATGACAATATAAAGGGCCGTTTCATATTCACTATGTATCCGAGCCAATCAGATGGTTTAGCGCGTTTGATCTACAATATTTATTTACTTTCCCAAATTACGCGCTTCATATTCTATGTTTTAAAGAACAAAAAAGAAAATGCCAAAAAATTCGGCTCTAAAACCTTCCACGGCGAAACAAACCTTGATTCCTACTCGGAAACAAGTCACAAAAACGGCAACAAAAACCCATGAAATAATGAATGCTGCAAAGGCAACAATAAATAACAATTTACGAGAACTCGGACAACTGTTATTGCAATCTCACAAAACTAATAATAAAAATTATAACGGTAGTGATAACAAGGAAAATGAAGGAGGACCAGGAGCAGGAGGCAGCACTTTCATCAATTTATCGAAGACCGAGCAAGAGAAGATACAAAAAATATATAGCGTTACGATTGAAGCTTTGAAAGTGCTTCAAGGTCTAGAATCAAAACAAATGGAAAAAGGAAATAATGACAAAAATTTTGATACAGAAAAAGCATATCTAAATCTAACGACGAAAATGATTGAACTGGAATTGGTACATGGGTCTTTTCTCGTTATTCTAGTCAGACGATTTATATATACGCGTTTGGCTAACCGTTTAATTGACTATTTTTAAAGTACGATAATGCGCTTGAAACCGCGCAAATACTACATACGCGACTTTGGAAATATCATGGAAAGAGCAATAATTCAACCGCCCCCAAAAAGTCTGGACGTAAATCCTTACAACAAATAAATGTCAATGAAAACGAGTCTTCATCTTCAGAACTATTGACTTTATATCGCGAATTATTGCGCTTTCCGCTTGATTCAAACATTGATGATCCCGAATTAATAATAGTGTTGTTAGCCAATCAACTCAACGTGTTACGATGCTTGGTTGCATCAAAAGACACCAAACTGATCTTGGTATGAATTTATTAAAAAAAAAGATTTCTTATTTTACGTTGAAAATAAAACTAATTCATAGACAATTTGAATTTAGTGTCTGCCCGTAATTTTTAAAGCACGAAATAGCATTTTTGACTGGTGCGAACGGTTAAGACACTTGAATGTCGAATTGGCCGCGAAACAGTATTCGATGCTCGGGCGGATCATCCATCGAGCGTGTCATCAAATGCAATCTATTTCTGGTGTATATTTTGTGGCCCATTTTGTTTTAATTTCTATTTAAAAATAATAAAATAATAAATGCAATTTTTTAGGCGATAACTCTTTGAGATCCTTACAATTGCGCGTATTTTCTATGCAAGCGTTTATCCACACTAATTTATTTGTGTTGGACCTCTTTTTCGAACAAGCTGTTAGAAGTGGAAAGCATTTTGAAAAAGCATGCCAAAGCCGTAAGTATCGATTTCTTGTGTCATACAAACAATAAGTTAAAAGGTAATTCTTTTGTTTATCGATATTGATACCGATATTAATGTATTGACTATTTCAAAAAAAAAGAATCAATTATATTATATCAACACTTGTCGAAAGCATATGAGGAGATATATGAATTAGTGCGTGCTACGTATCATGAAAAGTTTTCACAATGTCCCCGATTTTTTGTTTGGCTTGATCATTATGCGTACGCGGCAAAAAAGGTAAATGGTAAAACCCACTATTTTGATAATCAACAAAAAATTTACTCATTTTGCCTTATTTAGGCAAATGGATATAAAGCTGCCATATCCGTATATCGACTTGCTTCCCGTCCTATGGATATAATCAAATATGCATCATTCAAGATAAACATATTATACCATGCATTTGAGAGCTTACTTTGCGACGAAGGTAATTTACGAATTACTTCTAATTTTTCGGAAAATCATCGAGTTCGATAATAGTAATTCTTTCATTAATTAGAGATTGACGTGTACAATTATCTTGAAGAAGCCAAAGAAATATTGTTTGAGCTGACAAAGTCTATTCCCTCAAAATCACTGAATCAGGAGGACTTTAATAATTTTTCAAACCTATTTAAAACATTCGAAATTTTCAGGGGTTCATGCATAAAAATTCTGGATTTTTTATATATTAACGAGAATCAAGTCACTGTTAATGATAATGCATCACAAACCAACGAGAAGATACATTCAAAAAACAAGAAGCAGCATGTATTTATTAACAAAGTGGATGAAAATCACTTATACGCTAGCATTTACAACATAAATCATCTGGCTACTGAGTTGCTAAGCTTTTTCTGTGAATCTCACTTCAATCAATATAAGGTAAATGAAAGGTTTAAATTCAAAGTAATTTGTTTTATCTTTTTAAATTTCAAATCTGATATCATTTTTTAGGAATATTTCAAAGCCGCCCCCAATTTACTACTACATCCCGACAAACTCTCACTTATTACGATCCGCACAATCGAACTCTTCATTCGCACAAAGCTCGATGTCTCTCGACTGAATGACGATGACACATATTCCACGTATATTACGTATATCGAAAAAGCGATTAGAATTACGCGCATTACCTCTGATTCGGAAGGACTACATTTCATATCAAATATGTATTATTTGATTGGAGGATTTTATTACAAACAAAATCAATTTCGAATTGCTTTGGAATCATTTCAGAATGCATGCGTCACTTTAAAAGAATATCTTGATTTTCTGAGAAATAATCATTCCTCCATCGATAATAACATGAAATCCGAGATTGAATCAAAGTTAAGCAAGAGATATGAAGTCTTAGGGTCTTGTCATGATTGGTTGTGTGAATATCAGGTACTTAAGAATTAAATATTAATTTTTTTATGATAGTTAAAAAAAAATATAATAAATTTCTTTGTGTAAATTTTTTTATTTTAGAATGCTACGAAAGATTTTGAAAATTCTTTGAAATTCATACCGAAAAGCGAATATCTAAGATTCTCGAAGCTTTCTGCAACAAAGTCGGTTTTCCTCGTGTCCCAAGAACACACGATAATACCTCAACTGATCGATCGATATGTTAAATCAACGTATCTTAACTGTCCAAATATATCATTTACACCGACTCATGAAATTATGCTGAGTGTGGTCGAAGATGGAATTGAAATAGCTGGATTGGTGGAGTATGAACTTCATTTGATGAAGAGATACTATCAAAAGATTGATTTGACTAGAACGCAAATGCTGTTATGTGATAAATTGCTGGAATGGTATAGTCAAGATGAGTATCCTATCAGAAGAGCTAGGTTTGTATTTTTTTTTTGATCCCAAGTTTTTTATATAACATTTCTTAAATTATAGTTCGATTATTTTTCAGAGTATTACTTGAAAAATCCAAGTTATTAAGACGATGCGAAGACTCTTCTCAGATACAAAATGAGTTAATAATTTTAACACAAGCAATCGAATTATTAAAATCAGAAGTAATATTTCATATTAATAGCAAATTCCTTTTGCTCAACTTAATTAATTAATTATACATGTATATATTTGTTTTACTAGGAGCATTCTCGCGATGAGGGTCTTTTGGAATTGCGGCAATTCTATCTTGCTAGCGCTTATGCGTGGCTTAGCATTGTTTCTCAAGAGTCTGATAACCGATTTCCTGAGGGTTTTAAAATAGCTTTAACTTTATGGAAAGGTATATTGGCGGTTATAGTTCCGTATGGTAACGGGATTCCTACGACAAAAAGTTCTGTGGATCAGATTAAGATGATAATAGATGATGCTGAAGCATTTTATTACGAGCTTCGTATCCTTTTTCCTATTCTAATGACATAGTGTCATTATTGGTTGGATAATGGCAATCAAAAATAATATTATTTTCCTCACATTGCTTATTACTCAACTTTTAAAGAAATGCTGGCAGATTTTTTTGGAATGTCAAATCAACCTATCAATCATATTTTGACTATAAAATTGTTATTGAGACTCAATAATGGTATTAGGGATTCTTCACGCGAACCATATCCAGGTAAGAACTAAATTTTTATAGGGTTGTCTACGAAATAGAGATCTCACGAATCTAATGATACAAATAATTTCAGACTGTGTATCACTCTATAATCAAATGGGACATATATACTTGACCTTCGGATATACAGGTAAAGCTGGACTTGCGTTCTCTCAAGCCAAAGCAATAATGGACTCGATCGGATGTACAGAAGAAGTTAAATTGACTTGGATGCTGGGCTATAGCCAATATTTGTGCAGTGTTGGAAATATTAAAAAGAGGTAATTGAATTTTTTTTGTTAATCATTAATATGTGAGGATTCATTTTTTTCCACATAGTTTAATTGATGTAATTTTTCTTTAGTCTCCAATATTTCAACAATACTAGAGTGCTGGCAAACTCTCGGCTTCCTAGACAGAAGTCCTTGTCACGCGCAAATCTGGCCAAGCAACGACATCGTGAGCAACTACTACTAGCGGATGCATTTTTTACGCGATCAATAATCTCCCTACGAACAGTACATATTTGATATTAGATAATTAATATTGTATTACATTTAGTATTTGTTTCATATTTTCGTCTATTCTTTTAGGGTTTATTGGAAGAAGCTATCATAGATAGCAAAAGGTCGCTTCACTTATTAAAGCGGTCGATAACCAATATTAATCGTGATGGTGGATGTGTTAAACAAGAAAGAACAACCGAAGAGAACCCATTTCTCCAAGACACCTCGACGAACGGTTCTTTATCTGACCAGTCAAAGGAACTTTGTAGATTGATTTCACTTACTGCACAAAGATGGCAGTGGCATATATCAAAGGTTCTCTTCTGATTTGTTTTAGACACAAGAAATATATACTCTTAAAAAAATATGTAAAACAATTACTGCTTACTCATTCTTACTAAGGAAGTATTTAATCCACCACCACTCAGAGGCTCGTGGATTGCTACGAACATTTGGGAAGGCTGTATATTATACGCGGTTCTGTCAAAGAAGCAGATTTCTTTCTACAACAAGGCTTGAAGCTCACGAAGTTGAGTAATGCTTTCACGGCGATGAGTCGGCCGCTGTTGAGTCTTGCAGAGTTGAGCTCACGGAAACATTGTTGGGGGGAATGTGAAGAGAAGTTAGAGCAGGTGTTGGTATATCAAAATGATGTGAGTTTTGATTTTTTTGAGAACGAGTATTTTTTTTTGAATTTATTAAGTAATTGTTATTATTTAATTTTTCATATAAATAGGGAGACGCCATTCAAAAAGATAAAGCCATTGCAAAGTTATGCTATGGTGATTTGCGATTCAGACGACAAGAATACGATACGGCTCTTCAGTTCTATTCTACCGCCGAAAATATAATTACAGATATTATGAAAGAGGAATATATCTCTCATCTGGAAAATATTGAATTAAGGTAATAGAAGTGGTAAGATATTATTGTTTTTCAGAGAATCTCTGATGACATGACTAAAGTTCTTAATAAATTTATAAAAGTGCCATTCAAACACCTCGGGCCAAGAAATTAATATCAATACCTCCAATGACACCAAGAGTCAAGGTCTTGGAGCAAGGTATAGTTTTTGTTTTTGATCTTTGAAAATAATTTTAGTAAATAGATAAAATCAGAAAATTTTAAAGAATAAATGTGAATTTTTTTTATAGAGATTCAATTTGAGTGCTTTTTGCTTAATCATATTAAAGCAGATTTGTTTCGTCGTACAGGTTTGGTTAAAAATTTTAAAAGGAATCAAATTATTGAATTTCAAAACTAAAAAAACTACCTAAACAATAGGCCATGCCCTAAGCAAAAAAAGAAATATCGAACAAGCTCTTGACATGATTGAAAATAGCAAAGTCATTAATCAATCGCCCCTGGAAAAAGTCATAGATATTATTTAATATTTCCTATTGAATTGAATTCTCTTGGTCTAGATCTATAACTGATACCTTAATGAAAAATATAGGCAGAACATTATTTGGTATTAGGCAAGATTAAAATCCAGTATATACTTTTCTTGTTATCACGACCCACGTTTTCGGCGTTAAAAATAATATGTGATTCTGGTATAGTTGTTATATTTCTCTATTTTAGTTTAGTTTATTATTTATTAATTATTAATTCTTTTTTACAATTATCCAAGTTCTTTCGTTACCTCGGAATAGAATTACATCAGTCCGTCAAAACACAGAATACCCGGATAATATCACGCTTCAAATTCAGCAAGCGACCGAATATCTGACTAAAGCGTACGATCACGCTTTCGAAAGTGGTACAACACAAACGTTAAGCGAGTCTGCCTTTGGGCTTGTGAGGGCGAATATGATTGAAGTGTACAGTCAGAATTTAAGTAGTGCAGAACAGGCAAAGATGACACGGGAATGTGCTTTTTATTTGGGTAAGTTGCGTGTTGTTTTTATTTTTTGGTTATTAATTTTTAGTACTTAATTTGCTATTGTTGTAATAATATATAGAAATGGCTAAAGGAATAGCCGCAAAAAGAGAAATGATATCTGTCCTTTCTGAAAGGTTGATGCCAGAATACACTTTTGACGATATGAAATGGCCGCTCACGATTTCTTCCAATAAAACAACCATCTCTAACATTAAAGAACACGTAGACGACAAAGTTTCAAATAACGATGACGATGAAGACAACATGATAAACTTTACAAAGACTCTATACGAACTCTACAAAAAGGAAACCTACATGACTTCTGATCAATTCCAATCAGAATTTGTAGACATTTTACCTCCCAATTGGACTGTCTGCACTATTTCAATTGATGTGGAAAGTGAAGACATGTACATATGTCGTCTGCGGCGTTCACGACCTCCTTTTATACTTCGATTGCCTCTGAAACGGCAGTCTAGCCAAGAGGATTGTTACGAGGATGATGATGGGTTTTCGTATGAAGCTGCGTTAGCTGAGTTTAATGGTATCATTGAGTCTAGTAATAAGACTTTACAAGTTTCCAAAACTTTTCAAACACAGAATGAAAAGGTGGAATGGTGGAAAAGCAGAGAACAATTAGATAATCGATTAAAAGAATTACTAATAAATATTGAGAATTGCTGGCTCGGTGGATTTAAGGTAATTCAATTTACGCGATGCTAACTAATTATTATATATATGCTAAAGAGCGAATCGATATTAGGGTATTTTAATGACCAATGATCAAGAAGATGATCTGGAACACGCAAAAAAATTTAAATGCAAACTCGAAGATATCGTAAATAAAAACTTAAAAAATATGCTCACTAAGAAGAATGTCAAAGAGCAGCTGCCATTACTCAATATTGATCTTGAACTATGTCAAACGCTTTTGAGGCTAGGAGAGGATGCTTCCTACGAAGATATTAGCGATTTCTTGTACTTTTTACTTGACGCTTATAATTACAATGAAATACGAATTGCCTATGATGAAGTTGATATAGATCAGGTATTAAAGAAACTCAGTTTTTTTGTTAATATTATTATTGATAAGCTTATGCCTTTGTTTTAATAACGTACAGCTCTCAATAGATTTGAAAGTTACAATCGAGCAGTTTGGTTTCGACGCTAGTAATACATCATATAACAAGAACAATGCTAATAATGTTGCTGCTAAAGATCATATTATTTTGATCCTTGATAAGAGCGTGCAAATGTTTCCGTGGGAAAACCTTCCCTGCTTGCGATCACAAGCCGTTTCTCGATTACCCTCGTTATCATTTCTACGAGACAGGATACTAATGACTCGAAATAGAAACCAATTTAGAAATAAAATGATCGCAAAATCTCAAGTTTGGACTGATTACACGATTGATTATCGAAATGCGTTTTATGTTCTTAATCCTAGTCGAGATTTTCCAAATACTCAGAGACAATTTCAGGAATTTTTTGAAAGGTAATGCATTATATATATGTGCGTGTGTCAATTTTAACTTATACTAAAGATTTGTTTCTATTCTGTTATATTTATTTAGGTTTGAAACCTGGGATGGTGTTACCGGACGTGCTCTGATGGATTACGAATGCAAGAATGGACTAAAAAACCATGATCTATATTTGTTAGTATATCTATTCATTTCTGACAAATCGCGTATTTGTTTTCTGTATTTCTTTTTATTTAACAGAATTTATTAATCAATAAATTAGGTATTTTGACCATGGTGGCGGAGAACAATATATTCGTAGTTACCAAGTGCGTCAACTGGATCATTGTGCTGTTACCTTATTAATGGGATGTAGCAGTGGTCATTTGAAGCCTGTTGGAGAATTCGACCCTTCAGGGGTCGCGTTAAGTTATATCATGGCCGGCTGGTATAATAATTTATTTTACATTATGTTTTTAAGATTCACACTATCTAATTGTAATAATAATTATTAGTCCTGCGTTGGTGGCTAATTTATGGGATGTCACTGATGGCGACCTTGACCGGTTAAGTAAATCTTTGTTTAATAATTGGTTTATTCACCCCTCCCAGAAAGTTACCCGTGGCCAAGACAATAAGCCTGTATCATCTACAACAGCACAGATCAAACAAAGTGTATCTTTAGTACAAGCCGTTTCCTTAGCAAGAGAAAATTGTAGACTCAAATACTTGAATGGGGCTGCAACGGTTGTGTATGGTATACCTTGCTATCTCCTCACTAGTGATATGTGAGGTAATTATTGGGTGAGTCTTATAATGAACTCATTTATGTGTCACTTCCTTATTGGACATTTCAATAATTAATTTAATCGATTAGACAATTTATTCTGATTTTTCAAGTAATAAAATATATTAATAGAACATTCAATGAATATATTATGGATGATTAAAAGTATCGATAATAATGTATATTTTAGAATTAATATCATATACAACTTCTATTTTTTTGTTTAATAAGTATTAGTACAAATATTTGATAAGATGTATATATATATATATACACATATATATACATATGTGTATATATATGTGTGTGTGTGTGTGTGTATAATAAAATATAGAAGGTACATAGGAACACGAAAGAAGGAATTGAAAAAGCAAAAAGAAAAAACTTAATAAAGAATGAATCGTCAATAAGCCAACACGCGAGAGATACTAGTAGTATGATGATGTGTGTTAAGGAGGCATCGGATGGTGTGTTAGTGTTGGAGTGTGCATGGTGATTCGTTCCTATCTATCTTTGTTGTTTCTTTAGGAATCCAATGATCCATCACCCCGAACTCTTATAAACCTTGTTGTTGGAACGTCTTTGGCTATTCGTCCTTCTCACACTTGACGATGATGATGATTGTTGTTGATAACACAAATAAGTTATAAAGTATATAATGAATAAGATAAATGGCACACAAGTATAAATTATTATTAATGTTTTATTATTAATGGGTTTAGTTTTTACTTGGCTGTCGCCGCCGGCTGCTGTGTATTATGATTCGTGACTTGAAATGATCTCCGGAGTTCAGTGAAGAAATCGTTGCCGCTTGCCATTAGGTGTCCTTAATTTTTTTTATTATTAATTATTATTTAAATGATTGTGGTAATGACATACAAGGATTCATATTATAATTCTAAATGTGAATTCTTTTAGAAAACGATTACCTCTTTGCCCCCAAGCAGGTTTATTGACCGGAGGACTGTAAAGTTCTGGTTTTTCTGATGTTTGTTTTGTATAATCATATCAGTAACAAGAAGTCACACTGAAATTTAAAAAACAATAAAAAGATGAAATCCTGTACCAGCTTCAGAAAGATTACTATCGTAATGTCTTTCAAGTACCTCTTTCCAAGCTATTCATTGACAAAATAAATTATAGTAAATGATTGATCTCAAAATAATGATGATTTTGTTGCATCAAAGAAAAACCATCTTACTATTATTAAGATAAGTAGTAACTTCCTGCGCATTGAAACTATTAAGAGGAATATGTTCTTGCGTCGGTCGTAAGCTCGGTAATGCCGGTCCAGATGCAAGAGTAGAAGCTGTCGTTGATGATGTAGTTGTAGATGTTATTCCAATGGAAGGAGTTGATGGTGAGGACGATGAAGTGGTAATAGCGACAGTTGGATTCGGAGGGTTGCTCATTTGAAGCTCCTGTTTTTTACCTATATTGTCCCATTCAGTTACATTAATTTAAACTTTACAAAAAAATCCGGTAGATATCAAGAAATTAAGTATTACATTAAATAAAAAATCACTAACCAAACGAATTCTTTCGCTTCGCATTAAAATCTCGTCTATCTGTTTGCTTTTTAAAACTTCCAAAAAAAAGGAAATAAAGTAAATTTCAAAAGTCCACTACATTAAGGATAACGTTGAAGTATATGCAACCAGTAATTGATAGCAGTAGTAGTCAAATCAACCAAATTACCCCGCCGTTTTTTGACTCGTTAACCGCATGAGGTAGTATGTTTTAAGGTGTATGTGTTGTTTGTTTGTTTGCTGGAACGGAATTGATTGCCTTGATTTGATTTAAACAAAAACTTACTGTCTCTCTTCTTCCCGAGTAGGACCAGCCATATTTTGTTTAGTAGGTATGATGTATATGTATATTTATATTTATATTTATATATTTATGTGTATATATATCGATATTGATATTTATATAACTAAATATTATATATGTATATGTGTATAGATATATAGATAGAGGTTTATGAAAAGAATTCACAAACAAGAAAACAACCATATCAGTACATTAAACAATGAGGTGTCACGTGATGAAATGCATTGTAATGATAAGTGAATCGAGTTTATCGTAAGAAACATCATTGACAATGACACAAAAATTGCCGATTTTCGAGGTAAAATAATAGAATGCGGTTTTCTGATGAATTGAATCAAATCCAAATTTTGTAATAATCAAATAAAAAAGGTTTGTGTGGATTCAGTTTCCTCGGCAATTAATGCAGGTAATCATAGAAGATAATTTGGCATTGGATAAGAGGATAATGATTAAGAATTTCAATTTATATATAGAAAAAGAATGCGCAGCCCGCATCGAATTATGTGATAATTTAAATGAGGGTGGAACTACGCCGAGTTCAGGTTGACATTTAAATTTACATCCTCGACAACTCCTTTTATATTGTTAATGAAATAAGATGGATTACATGATCATTAAAAAATTTACTAGGAATGATCGCGACAGTTCGAAAATATGTCAAAATCCCAATTATGGTAAATCTGGAAAGGAGGAAACTCGATTCTTTTTTTTTTGTTCAAAATATAACTAAATATTTTCATTCATAAGGTGATGATAAGACCTAGGTAAATAGATTTTTATGTAACAATAGCTCAAGATAAAATAAGGCTATGATTGACTTTCTTTGTTGTTTAGAGGTGGTGATTTTTGCTATAGTGAATCCGAATTTGAGGTTATGTGTGCGGATATTGAACACGCGAAGTCACTCGGAGCGGATGGCGTGGTTTTTGGCATTCTCCTAAAAGACGGAAGTATTGATATCCAAAAGACTTCGAGGTATATTTACAGTTAAGTGTATTTTGCACATTAATCATATCAAATTTAATTTATTCTTTTTTTTTTAATTCCAGGCTAGTTGATCTAGCAACGCCCATGTTAGGTTAGGTTTGACTGATAGTCTGTTGTAATTATTTTTCACATATAAAATCTAGTTTTTTTCTCAAGTGACATTTCATAGAGCATTTGACATGTGCAAAAACCCGTATCAATCACTTGAGGATATTATCGCGATTGGTGGGATACAGCGAGTATTGACGAGGTTTTTATAAAAGAAGTTATTAAAGTCATTAAATCTAGATAAAGATAATAAATTACTTTTCATTATTGGGTGTGATGATTATTAAACTTAATAGCGGCTGCGACAGCTCAGTATTAGAAGGGCTCGAAAAAATAGCGCTTTTAGTAGAGCGAGCAAGAGACCGGATAATCGTAATGCCTGGAGGAGGTATGGATACCTCATTATATTATTAAATTTTTTATTTTTCTGCCTCCTCATTTCATTCTGCACCCTAAGCTCCTCTTCCTGATGTTCGAATATTTAATCAGTACTGTCATTTTTGCACTATCACTATCTACTTTTTTACCTTTCGCATATCCAATGCAATTGTGTTTATTAAATTTTTTATACTCTATAATTTTAATATATGAATTTCAATGATTAATACAAACAGGAATTCGCCAGACAAATATAAAACGAATACTCAAAGAAGTCAAATTGAAAGAAATACATGTGTCAGCCAGCGCATCTGTATCTTCGTCAATGGAATATAGGATTGGAAATATTCATATGGGCAGGCAAGTAGTCATCAAAAATTCGAGTTATTTTTTCAATGATCATAAATATTTTAACTTGCATTAAATAATAGACCTATCTATAATGACGAATTCACAATGAACACGATAGATCAACAAAAGCTTCGTAATATGATAAAGACTGCAAAGGAAATTAATTAAATTTATTCCAGAATACTTGAGCAAAATGATCGTCTAGTATCATACTAAGTATTTTATACTCTGATAATATAAAGATATTTTCTCATAGTGACACTCATGGTATGCTCTAATTGGTAGTATAAAAAGGGATACCTGGTGCCCACATTGCTGTTGTGAATCTGAGACTTGGTATTGAATGTGCCAAAGAATTAGCACGTAATAAAATGGAGTGTTTATCCAATGTATATATCAACCTTAGAACACATTTGCTCCGGAGATGTGATAAAAATCATATTTAGTATAGTTCTCTTGCTAATATAAAGTATAATAACTCGTGGTGTCCCTATTGCTCTAGCACAAAACTTGGTTCAGTCAAACCCCGCAATAGTCACTCTGCATTTTGTCACAATCGCACTATAGTCACACAAATTTATTGTTCCAAATTTCTACTAGTAATTTTTGCCCGCAATAATCACATATTATATTAAATTCCATAATAGTCACTATCACATACAATCACGAGCCCGATATATAGTAGGCTCTTATAAATATTATTCGTTATAATCATATCACAATATGGTAACTCTAAAATTATTGTCCAGATGCACCAGATCAGTTATATATGTGAATAGGAGAATGATTATTTGCCTTTTAAATATAGAGTTCAATTTAGTGTTATAAATTTTAATAAAAATTCATTAATTAAAGAATATATCAAAAATAGTAAAAAATTGAAAATCTCAAAAATATTAGAAAAAACAACAATAATTTATAAATAGTTATATTATTTTTTATTTTTATCAAATTTCTTATTATATTTTATTCATTTATATTGATATTTATCTTTTTTTTATATTCTTTTTACTTTTTATTTTATTTTTTATATTGTTACAAGTTTGTTCACTAATTGTTAAATTAGCTTACAAACAAGAATCTGGGTTGGGAGAGAGTATAAACTGATAAAGAAAATATTAAGAAAGAAGAGAAATATCTAAGATCTATGTCAATTTCTACAAAAATTGTGTTTACTTAAAAAGGAATAATAATGTGAAAGAGTTATAGGAGAGTAAAAATCAAAGAAAAAAGAGAATAAAGAAATAATAAAGAGGATTCTATATTTGCATAAGCTTTTTAGAACTAAGGTAATATAATTAATAATAACAATAACAAAGACTCTTTCATTTTGTTCTTCTCATGAGTAAGGAATATTCGTTAACAATTAAAAATTCAAAATAACAAAAAGTAAAATACTTATAATTCAATTTCAATAATTCCAATACAGTAATTTGTTCAGCACAATACAATATAAAGCTCAATAATCCAATAACAATGATTTGTTCAGCACAATATGATATAAAGCTATTAGCAATTTGATAGGTTCAATACAATATAAGATCATTTATACACAAGATTTGAAGTATATAAAGAAAATATAAGAGATGGAAAGTATTTGAAAAAAGATTTTTGTTAAGAGAGATTTTTATTTTCAGTTACAACATGTCAAGTTAAGGCTCAGATTAGGGTTCCGAAAAAAAGTCTGGTTCAGTTCGAGTCTGGTTCGGTTCGAGCTTGAACCAGACTCGAACCTGATGAAAAGTCTGGTT